GCCTAGTGCCGGAAAAAAATGACAAAAGGAAACACAACGGCTATATTCCGAACAAGCGAGTGAGTGCGTGCGAGTGCGAGAGCAAAAGTTACAACGGTCCCACGCTATTTGAAGGAGACTTTCTGACATTGATCCAGGCTGTCTGGTAGGCGTTAGTGAACACCCATCAACATCGATCTATGAAATGCCTGAACGCTGATCACATTCGGTCGTGCTTCTGTGGCGGGCATGAACACTCATCAGCTTTTGCTGAATTGATTGGATGATTGACTGGCCTGGAGACTTGCCGCTTTCCTGTTGATATTTCGGTGAGGCAGTAGGTTCCGGGCGTTCTGGGGTTACTTTCAGGAATCTGACCTTCCTGACAATATTCCTAAAATTGGTAGGTAGAATCGTCTGGCTGGTGTAACCGGACAACAATTCTTGAGCTATTCCGTTGAAAGTCCTGCGAGTTTGTCTGGCAGACCAAAAGGCGTTACTTTCAGGAATCTGACCTTCCTGACAATATTCCTAAAATTCTCTGGTAGAATCGTCTGGCTGGTGTAACCGGACAACAATTCTTGAGCTATTCCGTTGAAAGTCCTGCGAGTTTGTCTGGCAGACTAACCAAAAGGCGTATTCGAAGCGGCCATCTATCCGTGGTCTCGAGTAATGACCAAAGTGTTTTGAGCTTTAAAGTTTAGGTTGAGCCCGACGCTTTTACCTTGGTTGTGCGTGACCTTACGAGGACAACTTCATCGGACATGCGGCTTAGAAACTAGGACATGGTGAACTCGGTGGTTTTCCTTCCGTGGTAAACGAGTCTTCAAACACAGTTCTCTACCGCGACATACTCCTATACGCCTCCATCCTTAGGAACAAAATCTTCTACGGAAGAAACTACTCCTTATCTACAAAAGTTTAACGTGTTTCTGAAAAACTGTCATGAACTCTTGTGTGATTTTCCCGTACTTCGCCGAAGAGAGGGTGGTCGGAGAACATTTCCAAGGCATGACTTCCACTGAGATTGGACTGAGTGAAAAATCCCACCTAATTCTGCTGAAAGAATTGCCCCGCCGAAACACATGCCGAATTCGAATTCCGAGGAACGATTTGACATGAATACCGACAATAGCGGCTACATAATGACGGACACATAACTGACAACTTCTACGCGGTAACAGCTGGAGGTATCCACTGATATTTAACGCTGCTGAAGAGACCTAGGTATTTATTCTTCGTCAGCTTTGTCTTTGTAAACAATGGCTGTACGAAAAGATGACATACTAAAGCCGACCAGATCTATCGACCGTCAACATCTCCAAAATCTGGTCTGCGTTATCCAGCAGAATGGCAAAATCAGGGCACTGACAAGATATGTCAATTCTGTTGCTAACATTGATCAGAATCGATTGTTTACCTTGCGGTTGCAAACCCATCTTGTCAAGTTTTTTGTCAACATGGGACACACTGTAAGCGTATGAATGCACTCGCTTAAACTCACTGTAACAGGGGGGTATCCTTTTTCGTCGGATTATTCTGAAAGCTTGTAAAAAAAAATCCTACAAAGTGAACATGATTTTTGTCTTCGAATATCTAGCACGCTTCATTACGTAGCGATGTCACTCGCCGTTATTCACGGGTTTGACAAGATGGTACATCAGCGTTGACTGCACCCATAGATTTGATCAGTCTGCGAAGGCATTAGTATTCAAATTGACAAGCGGTGAGGCTCGCTAATTCATAGTTCCATCCCATGAAGCTGTAGAGCGAAATATATGCCATGAATTTTCGTAAAAACTGCAGAATATTGAAGGTGAGTGTTACTGAATGAAATTTTAATTGTACTGCGATTTTCCGAAATTTTTTTCTGGGCCGTGAAGCATCAAGAAGATCATTTCTCGTGGGGTTGAAGGGACAAGCGTCTGACCAATGTCCTGAACAGTCCCCTTTTTGGAACGGGTTCAGCAGTCGAGCATAGAGCAACAAGGTCATTTTTTTTCATAAAGGAAACTAATCACAAGGTTGCCGAAAAATGTTCGACAATCCACGACTGGTTTCGCCCTTCCAGTTCGGGCTCATCAGGTAGGCGCAGTCC